TACAGAGGATCTGGAAATAATGTTCGACCAACTAAACAAAGAAAGTAGCAATATTGGATTAAAAATAAACAAGAAAAAGACGAAAATCATGCTCAATGCTTACGCGAAAGCTAAACCAATCAAAATCAATAATGAAATCATAGAAACAACTGACAAATATGTGTATTTGGGACAACTTGTGAAAATGGATTATAGCCACCTAGAAGAAATAAAAAGAAGAACCCAAGCTGGGTGGAGTGCTTTTGGAAAATTAAACATCATCATGAAAACGTAAACGTAGAGTATTCAATCAGTGCATACTCCCTTCTATGACCTACGGAGCAGAGACAAGGGCAATGACTAAGAAGATGGAACAAAACTAAGTGCAACACAAAGAAGTATGGAAAGGTGTATGTTGAGGATCACCAAGTTAGACAGGAAAACTATATATAAAATGGATCAGAGAGCAAAGAAAGGTTAATGATGTTATGCAAGTAGTAAAAAAACAAGAAATGGAGATGGGTAGGGCACCTCGCCAGAACAAATGACAACAGATGGACGAAGCTAACAACTGAATGGAACCCCCCGAATAGGTACACGAGGTCGAGGAAGACCTAAAATCAGATGGAGGGATGAGATCGTGAGATTTGCCGGAATTTCCTGGATAAGAGCTGCACAAGACAGACGTGGATGGTTTCAGCTTGGGGAGGCCTTCGCCCTGCAGTGGGCCGAAAATGGCTGAAATGAATTAAGTGAGCATAAACTTCAGGTCCATGTTGAATGTAAGTACCTAGTAATTTTCCGCGTGCGCTTCACAACGCTCGCGCACACGTGCGTCAAACTTTAAAAATGCTCGAAATCACTTTTTGAATAAATTAGAGCACATTTCAGGCCATTTTGAGCATTCCAAATTTTTTAATTTTCCACTATGCGTGAACTTTTACTTGCGCAGCACGTATGGAAGCTAGAAATAGGTTCTTTTACATATTTTGGGTTCCTGAAATTGTTTTCACAAATTACCATTGTTTTTGGTCATCTTATGGCCATTAGCAATGTCGTACGTGCGCATCAAACATAGGGATCTTTACTGGGATTTGTGCCGATATACAGTGAAAATATGCTAAAGTAAGGCCTATTTTTAATCAATTATAGCTCCTTAGGATGAAAGGTGACCCCCAATTTTTATTACATATTCTGAAAGCACACAAGTTGTAAATATGAATTTATAGATCATAATGGCTGACCGGACATTGTGACGTCATTATATTGGCATCTGAATTCGAAGAAAGTGAATTTTACCTATGACATCATTTTTGAAAATACGCATTTGAGCGTATCTCGCTTATTCTTGATCAATCATCTTCCAATTTTGAGTATGTTATAGCTTAGACAATTCTCTTTCATATATATAACTTCTTTTTACATTTTGATGACGTCATCATGGTCAAAATAAATGCTTTTTCTGACCCTCCACATCTTTCCTTTCTCAAAATGTTGATAAGCCCATATCTTCTTAACCATTCGTCATTTCTGAATCATATTAAGTGAGCATAATCTTTAGGTCAAGGTTGAATGTCATGTACCTTAATTTTCCGTTCGCGCTTTTTAGCGTGCATGTACGCGTGTGCCAAAATTTATATGCTTAAAAACATATATATTTTTAGTCAGTTATAGCTCCTTAGGATGAAAGGTGACCTCCAATTTTTATTACATATTCTGAAAGCACATGAGTTGTAGATATGATTTTATAGATTATTATGGCTGATAGACATTGTGACGTCATCATATTGACATCTGAATTAAAAAAACTGAATTTTTATATGATAAATATTATAAATGATAAGAAGTCCCTCACCAACAGGCGTTTCTCAATGAGAGTAGATACATATATCTCATATCAGGAGTCAAAATTTTGTGACATTTTCTATCATGCGCACGTGCGTAATGACGTGCACGTACACATGAGTAAATCTTTTAACATCCTCTTAATTCTTTTTAGAAAAACTGAATTAGCATATACTTTAGCCCATTTTCAGCATTAAAAAACTGTTCAATCCTGAGGGTGAAAGTGCGGCGGATCACCTAACTCGTCTGCAGTGACGAGTTCAAATCTAGTTATGAGTTGTGTTTGGTTAAATATAAGCTTTAGTAATGCTGCTAACTGTAATTGTTATCAATATATAAATTGAGTTTTTAATGTACAGTATTTCAATACACATTTTACTAACCAATTAAAATCATTATTATTCATCAACCAGGAATAAGTAACCAATGTTTTCTAACAAATTAAGCTGCACAAAAGCAGATGATAGAATCTTATGACCGGACTCTGATTAGTGATAAAGTTTTCCTTCATTAGCGGAAACAGAAGGGTGCTATGTACGTCTGCACCAAGTATAGATAAACTTGCATTAATGAGAAGAGAATGGTAGACGTATTTCTGTTTCATTTTTGCTATGCGAATGCTCTATCTTGTGTTTCTAGTATCTTAGTTGTACCATAGAAATTGTTGTCTGAATGATGTATTTCGTTCATGTAATTTTATACTTACGGACGCCTTTCTTTGTAGCGGCAGGTATTCACGCTTTGCATGTCATTGTGAGGCGTACTGTAGGCTACCTACACGATGACCTAGCTAGATACATCGCGAACTGTAAGTACCTGGATGGTCCACAAATATATTATGTCGCATCAATTTCATTCATCTGAATCACTGCGTTGCAAAAAAAAAATCCTTTCCCTACCAAAATTTTTTTTTTAATTTGAATGCTAAACAAGTTATTTTTTTTTTATAGGGCCTTAGCTTTCAGTTCTATTTTGATTAAGATAACTTGTTTTTATATTTACTAATCATATACAGTACTACTCTAGTTCCTTTATTTTGTTAAAGGCAACATTAAACAAATTTATGTGTGTGTATGTATATGTG